TTTGTCTTGATGGTAGCAATGCTGAGTCGCTTTGATTGGCCAGTGCTAAGGGAGATTGATGGCAATCCAAGCTGAACCGTCTTGGAAGGTCAGCCATTCCTGGATCCGCAAGTCTACCCTCCTAACAAAACCTCTGCCGTTCCCAGTTTGGTCTGATTTTACTTAAGTTTAGACTTACAGGCCACTCAGATTCTTGCTACCGTCGGTTATCGCCTCGTTAGTTTTGCTAGAGATGGTGAGGGAGTAGAGGAGAAAACGGGTGAGCAAGAAACTTCTCTAAACACGTCTACCGGCTGCCTTCCTTCATAGCACAGTAGCTGCAGAAAACTTCGGCTATTTTCGAGGCATAGTAATAAGAAATATCAGAGAGAATAATTCAGCAACATGTTTAATGGACTGCAGACGACGCCGACATCTAAATCATTCCTAACCAGTCATCCCTGCATTCTCTTCCAGTTTTCTTCAATTCGTGCAGGTGTTAAATGCAAAGATGCTGAATAAGCTGCGATGGCGTATTACAACCATGTAAATAAGAAAACGTCCTTCAATAACTAGTGCAGGTTGCGAGTTCTCTTTGCTTGGATTTCAATAGTAGTAAATTGGCAAGAAGGCTACAAATCTATAGAAAAAATTGAGTAAGCTGCGGTGGCTGTGTGATTTGCAGCGGGCGATGCGACGACTCGAATCAAGTCTTGATACTGTTCAAAGAGGCAGTCCATACTTTGCGAGGACCACAAACGTGTCTGGTTCGCTTCATCAGTGGAAACCAGGGGATCTAAGGTTACTGAATCTTTGACGAAGGAGAAAAGAGGATAGAGGAGAAAAAAAGGGGACGTGGAGATGGGTAAGAGAAAGTATTCAGGTGAGACAAAAGATACGTCCGGGGCTCTTTCGATGCGCGTCTAGTCCCAAAGGAGTCTCAATGGCCCAGCGGCCCGTCGGCCGAATTCGCTCCGAATGACACGAAAAAGGGAAGAGGGTCTAAAACAGGGCAGGCATGGGATTGTAAAGGCGAACGACGAATGACAAGAGGCGCTGCAGTACCGACCGCAGCAGAAAACGAGTATGACGCTGGATATAATCAAAAGTTACCCCTTGCTTCTCTTCTCTTCCTTCAAACCTCTCTTAGCTCGTTGTGCAGCCTTGAAGCCTTACACTACTGCCAACACTCACGCGGGTGTGAAAGAAAGCTGCCATGGTGGCGGTTTGACGATGGTAGAATAGAAATTGTAGCAATGCATTATACTACGAAGAGGTAGTGTAGCGCGCAATGGCGTCATCCAGTAAAGGTGGAGTTTTATCGCAGACGGGAGGGCGAGCGGTCTAACTGACTGTCTATAAGGACTGAACGCAGGGCCAGACCCCCTATGGAGGGTTCGAGCTAGGGGGTCGAAAAATCCGGTGAAACCGACGTATCTGGAGGAGACAAAAGGTAAGATAGGGCCAGCTGTGGGTCCCTGCTGTGTTCTTTTGTGGCCACGCTTCTGCAAGGCATAGACCCGTCTACAGGGCAGGGGCCGAATAGGACGAACTGACTCGTCATTGTAATCATCACCACGGGCCGCCTCCGATTCTGTCATCCTCACGTCGTTCACGCCACTAAACATTTTGAAAAAGTGTGCAACCTTTCCACCGTTCCAGACATTCGCCTCTTCCTCGGTATACACTGTTAGGAAATCCGGCAAATGTTGCACCCCATATTTTGTAGATGCTCCGTAGTATCACTGTGGCTCTAGCTAAATTTTCTGACAATAAACGACGAGTAAGCGGATTTTCAGCCTTCCCAGATGGAGCACTATACTGATCTAATTCAATGACCGGTACTGGAAAAGGAAATAAAGTGCCACAATTAGTACCCCTACGAGAACTCCAAAGCGGGCTCTCCCCTAAGTGCATGCATGGATATGTCATTCAGAATTGGATCCGTTTGCTCCTACCTGTTCTCAATCTTTGAACGAAGGTGGTTCTTTCATTGAACGAAATGTTTATTCTATCCGTGAGCAGTAGGCGCATGAAAAACGTCTTCCGTGGTAGTTTAGTGGGTAACGTGATTGCCTGATAATTATAGGAATATTTTGTAGTCTAGGTTCGAATATAGGCGAACTGTGTTTCGTGCTAGAAGCCGGCCGTGTGATGGAATGCCTTACAGCGACACCGTGCGAAAACTTGAAATAGAGGAGGGTCTTTTACTTTTCTGCCTGTGTACACTATCGGCCTCTATTTACAACAATCAGTTAAACGGAAGTCGTTGCAGGAACTATGGAAAGCACACAGCGAATCAAAATACATTTTATATACAATAATCATTCGTCAAAAATCAATGATAAATAGCATTGCAGCCAAGCAATAGTGCAAAAACGCCAAGAAAGGAAATTCAAACTGATGATAGCCCCGTTTTTCTAGTATCCGAGCAATAAATCCACAACATCCATCCAAATCGAAAAGATGTATCGATCCAGCACAGCTATATATCCCGGCAGTTGATTGGATGAGTTAAAGCACTGCTCTTAAGATCAGGCTAGCTCCATTTTCGAAAAAATAAAATATCGCTCAGGACCTACGGCCGCTCTGTCGCAAATTGCTACTGCACCTCTATTCTAGATACGGCAATTGTTTAAAAAGATTCATAATTTTATTTATTCTTAAATTATTTGAAGTGAGTCTTTTTGTTTGTTTTGTTGTTCAGGACAGCCAGTGCACACCTTAAGGGTACAGTAAGATAACTCGAGAAAAAACTATAGTCTTAGGATTATTTTTCTTGCAATTTATAGTTGTACAAATGTGTTCGGAATCTTCAACGGCTCTTTTTTAGTTAATCGCCACAAGAAGCAAAACCGACTACAATTTACCGCAGGTATGTCATCCTCTGAAAAATTTGCTTTTACATCGTTTAACACTCCGACATCTTGAAATAGGGACGCCAGCGAATGCAAATGTCACTTTATATCTTTCTAAACTTTTTAGTTCCTTTTGGCGCACTGAAGAAGCATCGTTAGCAGGCAAGCTACGTGTCTGCCTTGAATCCTCTAAAATTACTCGCGGCGATCATATGCATCAAGGGAAGTGTATCATCTGATTGCTTTGGAGTCCTATGTCTCAAGATGGGCCCTATATTTTAAACGAGCGGCCTTCGCTGCGTGGAGAAACGCGAATCTCATCATAAATAGGTAAATATTTAGATAGTTCAAAAGTCTCCAAAACCCACTTTCTAGCCCGGCTTAACATCGTTTTGACATCGCGATAAATACGAATGATGATCGCAGAATTTTACAGCGTAAATGAAAGGAGGTGTTTTTTTTTAAAAAATATGGGAAAACATATTATAGATAGAACGAAAAATAGAGAGAACTATATTTACGATTTCGTGAACCTATGCCTAATTAAATTAAATAATGAAACATAACCAAAACGATATGCTAGTAGTAAGATGAACAGAAAGCCAAGGTCTTCATTGCGGTCACGTCTTTTCTTTTTTTTAGAAATACCCCAAAAGCTGCCAGACTGTACGGCCGTTACTGCACGAATATACTAAATCTATTCGACGAGCTTTTTTTGGTTTTCAAAATGCTTACTAACGCTCAATGCATTCAATCGGATTAAGGCGATCTCGTTTGCTCTCCTCCTACCGTCGCTTCCTCTTTCTTTTTTCAATGTCTCCGCCATTGAAGGGATGTTACGCCGCCAAATACTAGGCGGAAAGCCTTGGGCAATGAAGATTCTCATAGCCTTGATCTGCCGGAATGACGGTGAGCCGTGGTAAAGTAAGTCTACATTGGACGAACCTGAACGTCGAGGTCGCGCACAGAGAGACCTTAGAGAGTCTGGCGTTAGTAAGTAAGGCCTCGACAGGAATGGACGTGGAAATAGAGTAGGGCCAAAGGAGCTCTCTGGGAAAGTTTGAGACGAAGGAGCTTGGATTGAAGCGCAAAAAAAGGCTAGCCTAACTCAGTTCCTTCAAACAGCCCTCTCTTTCTGTCTCATCCACGCGCTCCTCTTCAGACTATGAGGGAAGACAGAGAAGCTTAAACAACCGCCGCTAAAAAATAGTTCTTCGAAGACTGGTATGGGAAGTATACGAAGCAGAGGAGTTTAAAGGTGACCTTGCCAGTAAGGGTGAGGCATAGTCAAGGAGTGTAACGAAGAAAGAGATGCGGGCGAGCAAAGATCCGGATCCACGAGCAGGTTCACGCCAACTTGAAGAAATGTCACCGATGGCGGCTTGGCTATGGAACTGAAAAAGAAGCTATGGACCATAAGAGACGGCTACATCGAGAAGAAGGCCAGATTGCAAGAGATCGGAAGACAGGCAGAGTGCTAGACTTTAGATTAAACGGATGGAATAAAAATGGTTTCTAGAAAAGAGGCAAGAGATCAAGAAAGTACTGATGAGAAAAGGAAAAAATGGAGACAGAGAAAAAAAGGTCTACAGTCAGTGGGTACAGGAGTGAGTTAAGGAAGCTGTGGACACTGGCAAGAATAAATAGATAGAACCAAACTCGTTGAGGCTGCCTTGATTAAAGTTTGTATTGCTGATTAGTTCCTAGTGTCGTGATGCCACTTCGACCACTGTATTGGACCGAGACTGCAGGGCAATGGCTACTCGACAGAGTATACTGGCAAAAAAATACATATATTAGGTCTGTTATATAAATACTTTATCTGCCGAGCACACGTTGGCGTCATCACGAATATGGCTTCACTATAGAAGATATCTCAAACTACCGATTTATTGCTAAGCGCACTAATAATATTCGGTCGCTTATTTTTTCGTACGTGCTAATCCATAGAACGTGTAATATAGCCTTGGTCCGAGAATTTTCCAATCATGTAATATATTAAATTGAGTTAAGTTGGCTACGCGGCGCCGTATAACTACTATATAAATACAGATATTGTGCGTTTCAGCGGACCAATAACTTATAGGCCTTGAGACTACCTGGCACGTAAGCTTTTCTGCTAAGAATGTCTAAATAAAAGATTTTATCGAAGCGGGTACATACCTCTTCCAAGAATTCGATGACGTCCCCGAGGGCAAGCTCTAGTTCATCGTCGTTTTGTGGCGTATAGTCGTACAGGACTCGAACTTTGCGTCGTTCCGCTGAAACAAATACGAAATAAAATGATCAATTAACTGTTGTCGTTGTTCGTGGCACCGATGTTTTCTAGGCAACGCTGAGTGCTTTTCAGCCAAAAAGCCTTGCAAATAATTCCAAAAATTATAACACTCCGATACGTGACGTACTGAGCCAAACTCGTTATGCTATAGCGTAAAGGATACATGCTTTCTTTAACTGAAAACTCTTCCGTAACTTGTATGACTCTTGTACACTGAATATACAAAATGCCAACGGTACATTCAAAAAAAAAAAATTTTTACATTCGTAGACGAAACATCATTTAATAATCTATTTTCAATTATTTCCCTTACAGGCTCATTTAATTAGCCAAATGTATTCAGATGTTTTCCGGCTAATAATTTTACAAGTACCTAATGATTCACTTGATTCAATAATACAGCGCCAAATATGCCAATACAAACAGAGAAAATTCTTACTGGCCATCTCTCAATAGGAACTTCCCTCTTTTTCATCACAGCTTCAAGTTACAGGTGTTATGCGGGACGACCAGATAAACTCTGCGAGATACTGCACCGACCTATAGCACAACGTGCATATAACATAGTAAAGGGAACCTAATTTGCATTAGAGACAGGCTCAGTTCATGCTGAAGAACAGCAAACGTTAAAGGACAAATGTACGTCAATGAAAAATGTGTGGCGATGAATACGTTTACGAAAGCTCTCACTTAACAAATCACTCGAGGAGGACAAATACGAGCAAAAAGGTTGAGCGAAATGCAGTAAGTTAAAATATTTCTCAATGCTTGTACATTGGCTCTACACAAATGATAAAGCACAAGGGTAAGGTCAATATCCCTAACAATGTTTAGGCTATTACAATGGAAGGTAAGCTTTAAAACTGAATACGTTTGAATTATGCGCCGCTAGTGGACGAAATTTGCCTGGTGAGCACTCCAGTCCCCTGAAGCGTGTGTATCAAAATTAATTAAGTTTACTCGACTAAAGGGGAGTTTAGAAAAAAAGACGTATCTTAGCCCTAGAAATCAACGCTCAGTGATCAAGTCTTCGCTCCTCGAAGATTACAGCATTGAGGAAATTTGTCGAAAAGTGCTGAAGATATTAGGTAAGGAGACCTTAAACAAATCCAGAGCAAACGGTGCATGCGTTTCGAGAATGAAAGCTGAAGTATTGAAAACCAGAGGAAAAGTAATCAGATGTTGGGACCCGAAAGACAAGAACGCGTCGCTAGGCGAGAAGGCTTCCCTCAAAAGCAGAGCTTGGAGTCCAAGAGCCATGTTGGCCAAAAATGATATTTTACATGTAACTCTTTACAGGGTCATATCCTGAAGGCTGCAAGCGCAATGTAATAATGAGTAAAAAAATTGGGCTCACCGTGAATGGACTCCAAACGAATTAGACATGCGTGTGGTGTTTCCTATGCGTAACTGCGGAACTTCGATCAACAAAGAAAAGCCACCTGGAGCATATGGTCGCCAGACAGCGCATTAAGTTCTACTGTCAGCCGAAGAGGCATCAGACAAAAGTATACTGTTTGTAATGTACATCAGGGGCATCTGCTATTATGAAATTGAAGCAATGAGTGCAGCCAGCAACCTTGAGCTTGTTAAGGAACTCACGGACCGTTGGCATGGCACTCGAAGGTACGTAGTTTGGTTACTTGATGATAGCGTAAGACCTCATCGCTCTGCCTCCATTACTTCCTGGAGTGAGCAAAACAATATCCAACTTAGCTTGACTGAACCCCGTGTAACTGCGGGGCTTTTTATGCCTTAAAAAGGGCAAGTGGTAGGCAAGCATGTTTTACTCTCGACCTATTTCGAACAGTCGCGGATAGAGAAACTACGAGAACAGGAACATAAATGATAGGTTTATGGCTATCCGGAACGCTTGAACAGTGGTCTAAAAAAAAGAGAGTACCTTTAAGACATATCATCATCGTAACGCAGCCAGTTTTTCGGTTAAAAAATCCGTCGGGCTTGCTTACAACAGCCTAACAGTATCTTATAGATCGTTTCAGTTTCAACTTCCATAATAAATCTCACAGATAAACTTGTGTAGTGTAAATCGTCGCCGTTCTCAACTCTGCTATTAGTTAACAGTGTTGTACCAATCAAGAGGATTCGACCCGAATCGCATTTCCCCACATAACGAAGGGCGCCGATAATACGATATACATATCCTCTTCCATACATGTACATATAGATATAGATATCCGTTGTTGTCTTATTATAACCATGATACTACGAAGATCGTTTATCAATTTTTAAATAGTTTATTGTATGTATTAATCTTCTTTTTTTTTTATTTACTGCCCTTATCTTACGCTTGCCTTCATCATTTTCGTATTTGGCGCACCTGCTTGCTGACCAGTACGCGACCGGCCAAATCAGGCAATCCTATTCAAGTAGGCCATCCTAGGTGGATAGTTTTTTTTTTTTCACTTCGATTATATGACAGTACTAAAGGACCTTTTCACTGCATGCCTCAGTTCTGCAGCTTTACCGGTCTGTCTTTCCGCACGTTAGTTCAGCTCAATAACACCAAACACTTTCCTAGTTGATATTTTCCTTTACTGTTTGTCCACACTGTTATTATTCATTTTTATGGTTTCTTTCAATACCAAGTGTTCTCCTTCATTGTTGTAAATAGTGCCATTCATTGAATTAGATAATTATAAATACTCTCATCATATTGAGCCATGAGGGCAGGCGGCCTCGTACAGCACTGATGAAAGGAAACGATTCGTCTTTGATTCATATTTAGAATCAGGTTTCTCTTGGCTTCTTTCCGACTTCAGCTGTCTAGCTTTCACTCTCCAGCATGTGTCTAATGATCGGCGGATCAATTTGGAGATTTCTGTTTCCGATTATGAGGCGCCTGCTGCTGCTGCTTCTAGTGGTAACGGCACACTCTCTGGCTGGAGAGGCCGACGATAGACTCCGAACGGGCCTTAGTCAGCTGCTTTGAGCTGACTCGTCATACATCGTAATCAGATCATTGGCCGCTTATAATTCTTTGCATTTACTCCATTTAATCTAGCTTCCTTCAGCTGACGGACCGCCTTGATCCAGTCGCCCACTAACGCGTCTAGGGCCCGTTTCGCGAGTTTTTTGAGGCCATTGGTAAGCCTGTGGGTGGGCAAGTATCGAGCCCTATGCAGGATAAATAGAGGAAAATAAAAACCTCGAAGGTGATTAGATTTGACCGTCGTACCATCTGAATACGCAAGGCAACATTTCGTTGGAGAAGTTAAATAAGATGATCGATGGACGCACTCGATGACAACAATTTTGGCTCAGAGTGTAGTAATCGACTTTGGGTAGGCATTGGATAGAGCATTTTTTAGAATGTTTGGGATTGATTAAGCGATGTGAATGTCAGAAGCTGTTATTACTAGACTGTAAGACCTGAAACATTTAGAACAGAAAAACGCCCGGCTTTTGAGGCGTTCACATCGATACCCTGGTACTTCTTAGATCTCAATATACGAACCCGCTGATTTTCATTGCGGATCCTGCAGAAATATATTTTTCATTAAAAGTCGTCATTTTAATTTTTCCCTTCAAGTTTTTAGACCTATCGAAGAGAAATAAATAAGACTTGTCTGGTTCGTTCAAGAACAGCCATAATTGTAATAGCCGATATATTACGTCACGGAGGGTCACTAAACTTCGTGAATATGCTTTCATCGTTAGCGGTCTAGACATATGTACTGAGACGTTTATATATGCTAGGCCATGTTAGCTATTTTCGATAAGGCTACATCACAATGCCAGATAGAAGCAATCCGTACGGATTCATAGAAGTAAGGTTACTCAAGTGAAAAGTCAACGGAGAGAAATGCGCCGACAACCGTGGACACGTTTCGTATGTTTATATAAGGTAACGAATAAAACTGCCCGTTATTCTTTTAAATTTAATGGTCGTTGTTCCTCATTAAGACAACACGTCCAGTATAGTTTCTGAGCACTGATCGCTTCTCGTCTTTTACATTGTTCGGGCTGCATGGGAGTTGTTGTCAAATCGACCATTGACGAACTTCAAAATTGGGTATGCGTACGAACCCTAATCCATTCTTTGAAACATTTTGTAAACATTATACCGCTCCTATTTTTAAATGAAATAATTTTCCATTGGGAACGTCTATGCAGGAGTTAAATTATAAACATTTCTATACGAGTTCCACCGCTCGCGTTTCATATAATTAGTGCCATCCAATTTTCGACATCTGAAGGCTTGCGTTAGTATTAAAAAAAAGATAGATATCCTTGCGGAAATGATTCCTAATTAGGTAGCTCATCCAATAATCAGAATCAACGCTCTCTGTTTACTATCCTGTTAAAAACTCCTGTCTACATCTCCATGTATCAATGCTATTTTGGTTCATTGCCGTTGATATATTAAGGCTCTAGATACCTAGGTACATCCGTATATTAAGAACATAGTCTACTGTTATGTAGATTACTTAGTTCAATTGGCAAACTATCGTATATCCTGCAGTCGAAAGTCGAAATTAGACACGAACGAGTGCTCTGAGTTGTCAGGCGCGGACTCTCTGGCTTTTGCCATCGTAGTGTGTGAATATCGATGAGGTTTTGGGATTTTTGGCGCGTATATTTCACCGCAGCGCCCCGTCGGCAAATTCTTCACATTCCTCTTAGATTCTCAAAAAAAAAGTAAGAGTATCGTCGTAAATTCCGAACCTCTGAAATCGTAGTGGCGCTACTGTCGACGTCAAGGAAGCGTCCGCCAGGTGCGTGGCTGTAGCGCTATCCGCGCCACTCACCATAGAGCAGTCCCATCCACAAGCGTCGTGTCGTCGCTACTGCTGCTGCCGCCGCCGCCGCCGCCGCCGCTGCCGCTAGGCTGTACACTTTTTCGGTAACGCGCAAGGGCATTCTTTCGCATAATTGCTACTACAAACAGAATATTGTCATTGGTCTCCGGCGTGCTCAACACAACCAAATTTCTCTATCGTTGTAAAGGCGCTGATTTTG